TTTTATGATAGACAGGGTCTAATTTAACGTGTGTTAAGTATGGGTGTGGTTTTTATAAGGTTGCAACCTTAAACAATCCAATTAAGGTGTACCTCCAAATTTTATTATAAAATATAATTTTGGTGTAAAAACTTCTTAGGATTATCTGAAAATCTATTTTTATGTCTAGTTATAAAATTTTAAACTCAAAAAATGCTTAAAATCAAGTAGATCTGAAAATCTTGAAAATGGACGGTTTAGATAATATGTTGCAAGATGTACTATTTCTGGGATTCAAATTTTTTATTTTTTTTTTCATATTCATATATCTCAATGTCGAGATGATCAATTACAAGATCTTTTAGCACTAAAACAACTTTTTTTCTGATGGATTTTTTATGTGCGTCTGTAATTCTACATTTTAAGATTGTAACTTTATATAAATTTTATCCATTAAGTATTATTATTTAAAATATAACATTGGAATAATTTACCAATCGAATACATCTCTTTCTTCCCAGAGGTTGATATAAAACTCTTAAATTTGGGTAAGTGTGGTTTGTATAAGACATGAACCTTTAACAATCAAAATAAGGCGTACTTTAAGACTACACCAAAAGATACAGTTTTGGTGCTAGAAAGCATTGCAATGGCATGAAATTTTATTGTCAGCCATAATTGTAAAATTCGAAGCTCTAAAAATTAAGAAGATCGAGCAGATCTATAAACAATTAAAAATTAAGAAATTGATGGCCTTGATAATGTGTCACAAGATGCTTAATTTTATGACTTGAAATTATTTTTTTTTTCATACTAGTACATTTCCTATCTAGATGATTAATTTTAGGATTTTCCAGCATCCGAACAACCTTTTCAATGGATTTTTTAGGTGCACCTTACTTCAATAGTATAAAGTTCATTGTGTAGCATAGTTAACAATTATTTTTTAAAATGGCCAACTACCTCAGAGTTAAAAAATAACTTTACCAGCAAAGTGATTATTTTTTAAAATCTTATGCATATTCTCAAAGATTTTACTAAAAAATACTCAAATTTCCCTTGTTTATCATGATGGGTTTGTAACCCAAACAAGTGAGGACATCTCAGTGATTGAATCATTTAATTCGCTTGAGCCGAATTACCCAAATACTCGTGCTCATTCCCAGTTCTGGATCTGGAACATGATCTTTTTATAATAATAATAATTATTATTCCAGGTTTGGAACTCGGAATTAGTGGGGTTACGTATTATGTGTTCCAAATCCGAAATAAACTTTCAATAAACAATATATTCTAGGTTAGGAATTGGAACAAGCAAGAGTATTTAAGTTATTTGATTCGATTAACTTAATTAACCAAGTCACTGAATAAACCAAGAACGAGGTTATTTTGGGCATTGATTAACAAAATTCTTGAAAGGATACCTTAATGAATTGATATTTAAAATGTGACCCCTTTATTTGTAAAATTATTGATTTGACCACCTCATTCATTTTTTGAAGTGGTTTTACCATTTTATTGATATTTCACTGAAATTATTTTAGCAACAATTTTTTTTATAAGTTGTATAAAATTGTAGAAATTTGATTTTGATTTAGCCATTTTATTTTATTGATATTTTACGGCAAACTTTAAGAAAAATCATATATTTTTGGATTCCAATGCAAGAGCATACTATATTTTGGGTGAATTCTTTGCATAAGGTTAGCAAAAGTAATAAAATATAAGTACAACAAAAATGTTTGTCCATGACGTATGTTATCATACGCTGGATCATAATAAAAACTTTATCATTAAGACCTTGTCTTTACAACAAATAAAACTCATTTTTGAAAAAAAATGGCTATAGTTTAAGTGGTACACCAAACTATAATTGGGTTTTGGAAGATCAAATGTAACGCAGAAAAAGTATGGAATCAATGAGCCAAGAGAGATTGATACGGTACAAGCAACAAATAGCAACTATGATGTAATTTTTGGGAATTTTTTCTTGAGGCTAGATTTCATTTCCTTGAAGATTTTATTTTTTCTTCAGGCTAGCTTTCATTTCCTTGAAGATAAACACCTTAGGTCTAATTTTATTTTTTTTCTTCAGGCTAGATTTCATTTCCTTGAAGATAAACACCTTAGGTCTAATTTTAGGAAGTTTTCCTAACACAAGGAGGCCAGATTTCATCAGTGTTGTCAAATGCGTTTCTCTTGCCAAAGCTTTCGGATTTTAGGCCTACACCGAAGCGAAGTGAAGCCTGGGTGCTGTCACTTCGGTTAGCTTCCGAGCGAAGCAAAAAAATATCCATAAAAAAGGATTTTTAATTTTTCATTATTTTGATATATTTGTATATATAAATGTCTAATTTATTTATATTAATTTTTTTAAAAAAAGTCCAAAGTCTTCCCCAAAATCGGCCAAAGCAACGAATTACTTTGTTTTTCTCATCAAATCGAAAAAGGCTCTCAAGCAAATATGACACCATTGGATTTCATTTCTTCAAAAAAAGAAATGAAAGTTTACACCAATATCCCCTATAATTAGCAAAATTTAAAGATGCATCTGATGCTTTTTTTGGGTTTCACGTTCATGTCCCTTTCTTCCTATTTTTCCCAAAATGTCCCCTACTCGGAGCTAGCAATTCAAACCTGATATCAAAGACATGGGTTCAAAACTACTAGTTCCTCCTTATGTTTTTCTAGTTCAAATCACATACCAATCGATTATTTTAGAGAACCAAATGGTTCTCCAGAATCAGATGGTTCCCGATAAATTATGGGAACCGGTACTGTTCTTCTGATCCAGATCGGTGTTTCTAAAACCTTGATTTCAAGCTTAGTTGATCAATGTCAAAAGCCCAACACTCTTTATTTATTTTTCTCTCTTCTGTATTATTTCAAGTTAGTTTCTTTAGGTCATGTTCTGGGTTATTTCTGTCTCCAAACGATATACATGAGTAAATATTTTTGATGAGGCTTATGTTCCATCGAACTAATTCATTCTCAGGTGAGTTTTATTCAAAATTAAAAGTTATTGTAGAAAAGATCCCCGATGGTTCCCATGGTTTTAATAATTCAATGAATCCTATCGATTTTTTTTTGATAAATCATGGATCCCATCAAATTATGGATTGATTACGAGTTAGTTACTAATTATAAGTCGTTTAAATGTATTGGTATCAGATGCTACTACTATTGTAAAATAAGCAAGAGGCCTCAATTATGTAATATGTTTTGTAAATTTCGAAAAGGAGAGAGAATTTGGAATGCTTGTCTCCTTTACATTTGAAATTGTGATGCTTGTAGAAAAAATGGATGAGATGTTAAATAGTTAATATTTTGGATGTTAAAAAACACTTGTTTAATCAACCTAGATGCATCACAAATTCATATCGGCATTACCGAACTCTATGTGAAAAAGACAGGGAATTTGGAATGCTTGCCTCCTTACATTAATCAACCTAAATGCATCACAAACTCTGATATTTGTGGTCTCTCTTTTGGCCCCCTCCC